ATTTCATTGGACTTGCTTTTGTAAGGCAGGATGATTTTGGGTATTTTGAGTTTCCCAAAAGGAAAGGAAACTCTTATAACCAAATCTCCATTTTAGTAGTTTATAAGTACTAATAGTTAATACGCACATAGTGCTTAGTGGTGGAGTATGCACTTAGCACATGCAGGGCCCCGGGTTCCCCGCCCCCCAAAAAGGAGAAAGTTTGTACCAGCAGAGATTGTACCAAAACAGTGAACTATCTGGTTATAGAATTAGCAGTGACTTTTCTTTTTTAACAACTGATTAGTATTTATAATGGTTAAACCAAAATTGAACTATTCCTGCTAAATTGGTAAAGAGAACTGATGTGCTGTGGCATCACGTAGAAGCTCACCAAGGTTACAGATGCAGAAATAGGCAACTTTTCGACTGGAACGTTAGGTGTGCGCAGGGCAGAGGTGGCCACCCATACTTCCTTGAGTTTGACCTGGGGAGTTGTTTAGGCTGTGTTGAGTGGCACCTGTGGCCTCAGGTGAGGCGCTCACATTAACTCCTAAGGAGGTTTGAGTTGTTCGTGGCTTCCTCATGAGAAACCTTGTAAAGTTGAGTGCTGATTTGGGAACAGCCCAGGGTTCTGGGGATTTGCAGAAACCTGTGCTCTGCAAACGCACCATGTGCCTTCTTCCCACCTGGTGACACCACACCAGGAAGGGAAGCCATGCTCCTCAGTCTCATTCGGACGGTTTCCCTGCTTTTAAAGTATTATGCTGGAGAGTGTTGCGTTTGTTAAATTTATAGTGAGGCTCCTAAGCATTCATTCGTTCAGTTGCAGAAATGTGCAGTAGTTATGTGCCATAGGTATTGTTACTGTCATCTGAGACTGCCCCAAGGGTTTCGGTGTTGAAGATTTGGAAGTCTCACAGGAGGGCTCTGATTTAAACAGCGGAGGTGGTGGGAACCAAGGGGCCTGGTGGAAGGCAGGATTTCCCTCTGCCCTGGAAACCGTACCTGGGCCCCAGGTCGTCTGCTCTGGCTCGCTCCTTCCGCCACCTGGCTGTCAGCAGGTGAGCAACTCTTCTCCACCTCACTTTTGCCTTCTGAGAGGTTTCAAACCCGCCCCAGTGGGGCCAGCAAGCCAGCTGTACTGAAGCCTCGGAGACCAGGAGCTAAAACTAAGCTCTCCTTGTGCGTTTGAGGAGTGTTTCTCAGGTTTTCATTGTGCTGATTACCAAGAGCATTTTTTAATTTTTTAATTTTTTGGGGTCTTTTTGAGACAGGGAGTTTAGGCTGGCCTTGAGCTCCCAGTGTGGCCCAGGGTGGTCTCAGACTTGCAATGAGCCCCTTGCCTGTGCCTCCCGAGTGCTGGGATTACAGGCATGTACCACCACGCCCGGTGCATTTGTTTTTGACACAGTTCACTTGGCCTTTTTCAGTTTCTTTGTGAAGTGAATTGAAGGAGACGGAGCCTGAGGAGGCTCAGGTCAGGATACACACGTCTGGATGTGGTCAGTGGTCACAGCTCACGTGCTGTCCTGTGTTGGGCACACCTGCTGGTAGTCCCAGTCTGGGGGCCTCCCTGGGGAGAGGCTGCCATGACTTAGAAAGCAGCTGTCCACAGGAGCTGAGGTGTCATTGGAAAAGCACATGGTGTGACTGCCAAGTGGTGAACAAAAAATAATCTGGTCCTCTGAGCTGCCTCCGGTGAGCAGGTCTCAGCACCCCACACCCCAGACTGAAGCCCTGAGGCCCTGAGTGTGGTGCCGCCACTTGCGTTGGTGGCAGGTCTCCTGGTGGTGGAGCCCTGGGCCTGCCTCACTCAGCCGGCCGGGAACAAAGGCCGAGGCATGCTGTCTGCAGGGCATGCAGGCTCTTTCTGGAGGAGGGCTGTCGCTTGGCTCCTGTGCAGTGTGACCCATGGCCCTGGGTGTTTAGGGAGGTGGGCAGGAAGGCTTTGCACCCTCTTCGTCATGTTGGGATTGAGCTGAGGGGAACTGCTTCTCTAGGGTGACGAAGGGGTTGTCAGTGCTCAGTGTGTTCTCACGTCACAGGTCGCCCTCCACGGTAGTGCTGTGAACTCTGATGCACGTGAGTCACCTTATTTGTTAACGTGGATTGTTTTCCTTTGTTTGAGACAGGTTCTCTGTGTAACACAGGGTGTACTTGAGCTCGCTGTGGACACACATTGGCCTTAGGTTTACTGTGCGGCCCACTCAGGATGCAGGCTGTGTGGGTGAGCCCACGCGCGAGTGTCCCGCCATAGAGACTTGAGACCAGTGGCCCTCACGCTGGCTCCTCCCCCTTCCTGATGCACGGACCAGGGAGCAAGAGCCACCCTCAGAGACGCTGCAGCAGGGGCAGCCACTCTTCCAGAGAGGGCAGGTGGGGTGAGGAGAGATTTTATGGTGAGGCTGCAGGGTCTGAGTTTGCTGCCCATTCTGGGCCCCTCCAAGGACCTGCAGCTTCCTACTCTGGGGAACACTTGCCTCCTGGGCTCTAAGCAGTGGCCTGCAGGTGTCCCCGACGCCTGCTGCACATGAGGGTGGCACATGCTTTGGAAGGGGGCCTCGTGCAGTGGGGTTCTGAGGAGGTGATGGTAATGTTCAACACTGAGCGTGTCTGTTCATGGTGTTTTGGGGATGGTTTCATTTTCTAGATAAACTGTGAACATGTGGTACATACTCTGAAAGTGGGAGTTTCCATAGCCTGGCCTGGGTAGAGTTGGTGGGTGAGGCCCAGGGACCCTGGTGGGCAAGCCAGCCATCCAGAGAGCCAGTTCCCCTCCACAGACTGGACCAGTGATATTCCTAAATGCAAGGCACTCGGGCATTCTAACTTGTATGTTGGGTCTCTAAAGACTGATTGTAGATGATGACTGGGTCCATAGGGTATGGGGCGAACGCTTGGAGTGGGGCCGCTGCGGTCACGCCTGCTGCCGCACTGCAGCTGCAGGTGTGGACAGGAGTGCAGGTGATTGGAGAGCTCGCCCTGAACCACATGGCAAGGCCGCACCCCCGCCTGTGCTTGGAGAAGGCTGGAAAGGCTCGGTGCGGGGCTTGCCAGGGATCTATCCCGCAGCCGTGGAGGTAAGTGAGGTGAGGGGAGGCCAGGACACGCAGGGAGTGTGGGGTGCTGTGTACCTGAAGCCATGATTTTTTCTCACATTACTCTACTGTTGGAAAGTATGCTTTCTACACATTGGGTTAGACTTGGGGCAGTTCTGTCCAGCCGCTGGGCAGGCTTGACCTCGGAGGGTCTGGAGTCCGTGCCTGGCTTCCTGCTCTTACAGACTCATGAGTCCAGATTGCATGCTCAGTCCCTCATGTGTGTCATGGTGCCCACTGACAGTGTGCTGCCATAGGGCAGCTGGAGATGTCTCCCAGAGCCCTGTGAGCCCCAGGGCGTGGCCAGATGAGCAGGCATGGTCTCTCGCCCTTTCTCCAGTGTAACATCCACGTGTGTGCCTGCTGTCCTTGGGGCTCGCAGGCCAGGGAGCTTGTTGCTGGCTGTCCTTTCCTAGACTCTTCAGGGATGGTACTAGCCCCTGATTGCTCCCCACCATGATCTTGGGGCTTGCTCCAAGCCTGCCTGCCTGCTGCTGTCCTCTAGGGGCCCTCCTGCAGTGATGGTGATTCCCAGGGTGCTGGGTAGTTTTCCTCATTGATCTGCAGCCATTGGGGCTCGGGGCTTGGGGCTGGGGCATACCCACACATGTGCCTGTTTTCAGGGGAGCCCCTGGAGTCCAGGTCTGTGTGGCTAGCCCCCGCTGCAGGTGCTGAGAGCTGTGGGGTGGTGATGCTGGCTACTGAAGTCCCAACTTGCCCTTCAGGGGTTGGGTTCAGTGGCTCTAAAGCACTGGGGGCGGGCGGCTGCTCGTGTAAGATGAGGCATGAGTACTGCCCAGTGGAGACTCGGCCAGGGCCAGTGGCCAGTGGGCAGTGGGCTGCTGAGCTCTGTGCCGTAGGCCGTAGCCCGTAGCCCAGGTTGTTAGTCACCCCAGTTATTTGCTTGGGGGTAAGGTTGGCTGAGGTCTCCAGGGCCGAAACCTTGAGGGGAGCTAGGTGGGAACCTCCATGACTCCAGGTCCTCTTAAGTGGGGTGCGGATGACACCTGTAAAAATACTTCACCTGCATGTATTTTCCTGCATTCCAGTGGGTAAATGCTCCATCTAGCTTACAGGATGACTGCCTGCCTCAGTTTACCCCTGAAAGGGAAGGTGGCCCTTTGATACCTCTTGCTTTGGGCTGGGGCTGTGATGTGATGTGTGGATGGTGCCAGAAGACACCTGCTCATGGGGAAGAGGTGCACGGAGGAGTAGAGGGTACGGAGGGATGGGTATCCCATCACCTTCCGCTCACACTTGGGGATAAGTTCTGTATCTGTGACTGTCTTCAAACCACCTGGCAGTTCAGGTGAAACCCTCCAGTAAGCCTTGCCTTTGTATTTCATTCCTGGTGTCCATCCAGTGTGCAGAACTTGCATATGACTTTCAAAAGACTGGTAAGAACAGTTATTGGTACTAAGAAACAAGTGTGTTGGGAGCTTGTGCAGTGTGCTGGGCACAGGCCTGACCAGGAGACCTCCTCAGGGATGAGAGGTGCTGGAATCGGGGGATAGTTTCCCGATAAGCCACCTGCTCCCTCCTGGGTGCCCGGGCACAGGCCCCAGGGACAGGGTGGATAAGGTTTGCTGGCTCCCTTTGGGGCATGCCACGCAGTGGGTTGGCTCTGAGCATCCTCTTGAAGGTGGGTGGCCGGCCAGCCGTGGCTTGTGTAGCATGGTGCCTGGTTGTGCCTTGGGAAGTTACAGGTGTGCCCTGCAGTGTGGGGACGGCGCCACTTCCTAAATTTAGCAGCCTGGATGGACATGTTCTTCTTGGGGCTGTTTTCTCTCCCTGCTGAAAATGAGGGCTAGGCCATAGTGCCTCAGGTAGAGGGGATCTGGATCCCTTCTGCTCCAGATCCTTTCTCCAGAGCCAGCCACCTGGGCGGCGCTCACGGCTCTTTCCATGATGTCCTTTCAGGTGTGGCGGACGAGGATGCCCTCGCCGAGGAGCGCATGCGGAGAGGCCAGCATGCCTTGCCGGCCCAGCCTTCCAGCTCCCACCCACCGAAGCCACCCCGTCCCACCCCGATGGCTAGGTCCGCGCCACACTACGTGCTGGAGGAGGATGAGGAGCCGGACAGGCCGCGGGTCCCCGGCAGCTGGGATGCCCCCATGAGCTCAGCAGGTGTGCAGAGGGGACCTGGTGTGGAGCGTCCCCCACATGACCCTCCCCCACACCCAGGACAGCGAGGACAGAAATCACGCCTGTGCTGCTGCATCCTGACCTGAGTGGGTGGGACAGGGACAGGCGCCAGGCCCTCAGGTAGAGGTGCAGGTCGAGTGGCGCCTGAGCCCACGCTCCCCCCCGAGCTGCTGCACCAAAAGCTTGCCATGATTAAAGCGGGGTCCCCGTGTTCCGTGACGTGCACGAGTGTTGTCTGAGCGTCACCTCAGCGCTGCTCCTTGTCACGTGAACTAGGGGTTGATGTCTGTCACTTGTACTCATGCACCCATGGCCATGTCTGCCTCTGCATTAGCTTCCCTTCGGAGGCAGAGTAGGGGCTGGCCAGCCAGGTCCCCAGCGGGCACACCCTGCTGTACCACAGTGACAGCTAGGGTGCAGGCCCAGCTCCACCCTTTCCCTCTGGTCTCCGAGTGAGCTCCCCAGGAAATTGTGGGTATCTGGTGTACCTAGGTCGCTATAGTCTGTGGGGTTGTACCCCAAGTTCCTACTGTGTGTAGCCAGGTGCATGTGGGGGAGGCTGCCGATGTTCCGTGTCAGGATGGCACAGATATGCTCTTGAGGTGCTCTGAGCTGGACACTCAGGCTGAGGTGCACCCTTGCTTTCCCAGAACTGTCTCCGAGGGTCAGTGCCTACAGTCCGTTCTAGGTCTCCTCTGCTGGAGTTGAGCGTCCCTGGGCTTTGAGGAGAGCAGGAAGAAGGTGATGGGAAGAGCCCGCCCACAGGCAGGTGTCACAGGAGCTGAGGGCACGCCTGGCTGCCCTGTGCTGGCATCCAGAAAGTCGTGCTCGCAGAGCTTCCCTAGAACATAGTCCACTCATGGTCCTGAGTGGTCTGAGAGTTTGCAAAGGGTCGTGTGATGAAGTGCAGATGAGAGCAGCCTGTGGATTCCACTTCCCTGAGTGAAGGGCAGTGTAAACAGCTGGAAAGGCACTGTGTCACTTCCCATGGCCCCAGAGTGAGGAGTGCAGGTGCAGTTGGCCTGAGGTTGCTTAGCTTCAGATAGGCCAGACCCTGGTCCTGAGGTTCTGCCGTCTGCTGCGCTGACTGCTGTGTGTTCCCCATGCCTCCCGCCACTGCAGAGGCATCCGAGGAAAGTAGGAGTTCGTAGTGAGAACTGAAAAATGATTCTTTCCCTGCAAATCTCACAGCTTTGGCATTTGCGATCATGGAAAGGTCACTAACCGGGGAGCCAGCAGATCCTGCTTCAGGGGCAGGCGTAGCGGCCTGTGTTCTTGTGGGACCTGGCGCTTTCCCTGGTGGCTGTCTCTGGGCTGGTGCTGTGAGGGCTTGCAAGAATGCCCTGGTAGGGAGCCTTGCTCAGACCTCCCTGCAGAAGGAAAGCGGGTTCTCGGGCTCATCCGGGAATAAACTGCAGTTAGACACTCAAGTGACCACTGTGCTCTGGGCAGTAAAACCACACCCACGGGCCAGGTGTGGTGGCACACGCCTGTAATCCCAGCACTCGGGAGGCTGAGGCAGGAGGATCATTGCAAGTTCGAGTCCAGCCTGGGCTACAAAGTGAGCTCAAGGCCAGCCTGAACTGCATAGGGAGACCCTGTCTCAAAAAGACAAAAAAAAAAAAAATTAAAAAAAAAACCCAAACGACACCCGTGGGCTTTTCTTTCTTTACCAGTGCGATTATCTCCAGCTTGCCCATGGCCTTTGCAGACCTGGGCACCCTGGGCCTGAAGAGCAGGCAGACCCTGGTCACCTTGCTCCTATGGACTCCCTTGGCTTCAAAATCCCATTTACAGAAGGCTTAGGCGGCCTGCCAGGCTCCTTCCCCGTGCCCCAGTATGGCTCCTGGAAGTCCTGCGGTGCCATTATTGTGCACTGGGGAGTCTTAGCTAGTCTCTTAAAAAGAAGCACGTGACCTACATCACCCAGAAGTGTTAGGGACCCCCGCGTTGTGCCTCAGCCGTGGGCCACACTGAGCCTGCAAGTCACCCGGAGGGGCCAGCACAGGGCACCTGCGTCTGTCACCCCAGACGTGAGTTTTCTGGATCAAGCTCACAATTTACTGCACATGTAGGGTCTGTCCCGGATACAGATACAGCTGCAGCAGCAGAGGTGTCAGGTAACCCCAGAGTTAGGGAGGGATCAGCACTTGGGCAGAGAGGTGGGGATGTGGGGGCACACAGTGTGGCTTCATGTCGTGGCACTGGCCGTTTTCAAAATGGTGGTGCTGGGGATGGAGCTGAGGGCCTCCTGCATGCTGAGCGCTTGCTTGCTTTTGCCACTCTGAGCTTTTGTCCCCAGCCTGGCTTCTCTTTGGCTGTGCTGTGCCCTTGCACTGCAGACCTCCCCTAACACCTGTTGTGCCTGTTGGGGAGGGTAGAGGTTCTTAGGTGGAACCAGCATTCACAAAAGGGAAACTTCGGAGAGTGCCTCGCAGTGTTTTGCATTTGTGGATTCCACGAACTGTAGGCCTGTCTGGAACATGTGACCCTTAGAAAGGGAAATTTATTCAGTGTGAAAAAGATTATGAGTGAAAGCATGAGTGGATCCTTCAGCTTCTATGTGTGTCTGAAGAGAGCTGCTTGTCCTGAGTGCCAGGACTGTGTCCTGAGCTGCGGCTAGAGGTTGCGCTGAGCTTGCCCTTAGCTCCCCAGTCCTGTGCCTGCTCCTAAGAAGACTAACCCTGTGCACGCTCAGATGTGTCCCTGCTTCAAGTTCTGAGTAGCCTTCTGGGGAGAACCTTCCCATACTCTGGAAGAGGCTGGGTTTCTGGGCTCAGCCCCAAGCCCTGCCCAGCCACCCCCCGGGGGGGGGGGTGGAGGGGTGTTAGGCAGTTGTTAAAGAGCTGAAAGTGGAGCTTTATCCAGAGGGTGAGTATTTCTCCTTTGGCTTTGGTTGGACAAGTAGGTCATGCAGCCATTGGCTTTAAGTACACAGCAGAGGGAAAGCAAGAGATACTTCCTCATGGGGGACATTGAGCCATGAGAGTGACCTCCCACAGCAAGAAATTCCAGCAGAGGTGGGCTGGGGGCTTGAGCAAGTGGGTGACAAAGAACAGGTCAGGTGCAGAGGCCAAGAACAGGTGAAGCCCCTGCCCTGATGGTGCTGGCCTCCTGGCCCGGCTGTGGCATGCATGCCTCCCTCCCTGTGTGTGTGTGACCTTGGAGCAATGGCAGAGTTTCAGTGTGCAGTTTCCACTCAGGCTGGACATGGACTGAGGAAGGCCGTGTTCGCTTTCGTCTCAATGTGGGGAGGTGCTGGCGGCTGCCCAGCTCCCATGGCCGTGTTTCACAAGCCGTGTTTCCTTAGGGTTTAAAGAAGGTGGCAAGAGGAAGAAGCAGAAGCAGAGAGAGGAGTCGAAGAAGAAGAAGCCGACCAAAGGGAACCACTAGGCTGGAGTTGCCCGGCAGACGCGGGTGGCCGGCCTGCGCTAGGTAGTGGCTACTTTCAGTGCTGTCCAGGGCCACCTCGTTTAGCAGGATATGGATGTGTGCTCATGGGTCATAGGATCAGGAGCCTCGAGATAGGTGACACCAGGGGTGGCGTGGTAGACATTTGGGGTACGCTCCACTTCCTGACTCCGCTTTTCCCTGGCACTAAATCCGTCAGCGCTTTCCTCTAACTGTGAGCAGTCCGTCTCTTTCTTTTCAGCTTCACCAATACCGAGCCTCTCCCCGAGGGCTTTGTAGCCATGAGGGCACAGTAAGGGATGGACAGGGAGTGGGCATGGTCTGGAGGTGACGCTCCTTCTCTGCAGCGCCAGTGTTTGAAATTAGAGTGCAGTTCATTGCAGCGTAGCTGGATACTGCGACTGCTCTCGGCTCCACGCTGTTGTCAGTTCAGAGCCCTCCGACCACACACAGACCATCGTGAGTCACTGCAGATGTAAAAGCATTCCTTGTATTTACTGCCCTAGTTCCAGTTCTCTCCAGAGAGTCCAAAGTCAGCTCCATATATTGTTTAGTGTTTGCTAAATCTTGTAGTTTGGATTTTTTTTTTTAAAGTAAGATAGGTTCTCAGCAAAACCGTTTCTGGCTTTTGCAGGTCAGGATTATCATGCTGGGAAAAACCAGGCTGGTTACTTAAGCACAGCCTTGGACACACACATGCGCGCACACACACACGCACACACATGCACACACACACAATCAGCTGTTGAGCTACAAGATTGAACTAAACATTTTAGTTTGCAAACATTGGCCCTACAAAAGCCCCTTTATTCCCTCAAGCTTCTGCCCGGCTGCCCGTGACCGGTCCACCTGCATGATGTGTTGCTTGTTAGCCTTTTGTTTTTGTTGAGCAGCAGGTAGGTTTCTGGTATCCCTGAGTTCCGGCCCGCGTGTTCCTCCTGGGGATGCTGCTTCCTCTGCCCTCTGGGAAGTGAGGGCACAGAAAAGAGCGTTGATGTGGTTAAAAGTGCTGCAGTCGAACCCGGCAGCACTAAAGCCGGGAACACCTGGCGTAACCCATGCGGCATTGTCAGCTTGGAAGCCTGAGACGAGTACCTGTGGTTTCAAACTGGTCGTGCAGATGTGCTGTTCATTTGGTTTGGTGGGAGGTGGTGCGGGTGGCTGGGTGGAGAGTGAATTGGATTGACCGCTTATTGTGGAAATTGTCGCCCTGAGGTGTAATGTGCTTTGATGCTACCTACGTAAATAAAATGTGTGATTGAGTCCAGCTCTTGCTTTGTTCATGGTACTGGTAAACTATACTGTTCTATAAGAATTAAAGATCTCCTTCCATATTTCCCCCATGCAAGACAAAATGATGTTTTGGGGGCAGAAGATGGGGTGCTGTCTGATGCAGAGGTCGTCCTGGGAGCTTGGCTGTGACACCTGGCAGCCAGGGGAGGTTCCTGCTCGGCCTGGCAGGGGCTGCTGAGGGCCAGGCTCCTGTGAGATGTGACTTAGTTACTCTGGAGAGGTGAGTTGTAGGCCCTGCTGTGTCACCAAGGTGGGGTGGATCCCTGCAGCCCACGCCTCCTGAGGCTGGTCACTGCATGGCAGGGTGACCCAGTCCTGTTGTACCTGCTTACGACACGTCCTCACCTGAGCAGCTGGGATCTGTGTCAAGTGACAGCCAGGGTCAGCTGCGGCCTGAGGCAGCTCTTCGCCCAGTGGCAGGGAGGGGTTGTGTCCGCTGCTGCATGACTGGTCCGTAGCACGTGCCCCACTCCTTGAGGAGACGAGGCGCCTGGCACCAGGGCAGCATCAGCACGGGCCTGTTCTTTGCCACCGGTGGGGCTGTGTCTCTGTCCCCTGTGGATGGCTGTGGGAACCTGCTGGAGGCTGGTGGAGCAATGGCTGGGTGCCTTGTCCTCGGCTGTGTTCGTCACCTTCGGTGCTGGGTGGCAGGGGCTGCACATTGCCCCTGCAGCCTACTGGGCATGCCTGGCCGCCTCCCTTGTTAGGGTGTGAGGGCTGCCCAGCCCACTTCAATCTTTTTTTTTTTTTTTTTGGTATCAGGAATTGAACTCAGGACCCTGTGCTTGCCCGGCAGGTACTTATGCCACTGAACTATATCCTCGGCCCTGCCCAGCCCACTTCAGATCAGGAAATGTGAACATACGGAAATGCTTTCTTCATCAGCAGCAAGTGACAGAATGGTTTGTGTTAAGGTCCCCAGGCTCCCTCTCCGGGCCCCTGCTCTCATGTCCCAGCTGCAGGACCAACCTGATGCCAGGGAGCCAGGTGATGGGCACAGCCCACTGGCAAACTTGGCCTTAGTCTAGCATCTCAGCAAGTGGAGCCATGGGATTCAAAGCCACGCCCCAGTTAGGTGGCTTTTTTTGGTGGGGTGGTGAGGGGTTTCCTTTTTGAGACTTGGTTTTGCTATGTAGTCTGGACTGTCTTTGAACTCACTTTGTAGCCCAGGCTGGCCTCGAACTCACGATGATCATCCTGCCTTAGCCTCCAAGTGCTGGGATTACAGGTATGTGTGTCACCATGCCCAGCAGGTGGCTTTTTTGTTGTTGCCAAAAAAGGTTGTAGTGTGCCAGCATCACGTGGAAGGAGACCTAACATCCATGCAGTCTGGGTTCCAGATGTGAGCCTGTACCCTTCCTTGGGAATCTGTGCCACTCGGTTGGACCTGGTGCTGTGTCCTCACTGGTGCCGCACACCTTGGTCCAGGATCAGTGCAGTCCTGGGGGCAGCCGCGACCAGGCGAATGCCCTGCATGAGTGGTCACCCTGAGGTACCCCTGGGCTCTGCACTGGTCGGGGTCGGAGCCATGACTCCCGTGAGCCTGGGGATCAGGTTGAGGAAGCGGTCCTTGAGGGAGCCCTGGTGGCTGCTGTTGGCTCCGCTGATAGAACAAGGGGCCCGGGCTCCCAGGGGACGGGGTTGCCAGCTGAGGGTGGTGTCCCCAGCAGGGTAGTGGTGGCTACCCAGGGATAACCAGTGAGGAGCGTTTGCCCCCTCACGACCGGCTATGAGCTGGGAGGGGCAGGAGAGGGAGGAGGAGGGACAGGCCGCTGGGAAGGTGTGCCATGAGACCCTGGGAGGCCAGGAAGGGCCTGGTGTGCGTGGGCTGTCCCTGGGAGAGGGCAAGGGCAGGCACAGAGGCAGGGGAACACGGTGCCACTAGGCTGTCGGTGGCTCCCCAAGGAGACCACTGTCACCTGCTTGCGGCCACGCTCGCAGCCCACCTGAGACAGCCTGTGCTCTGCCGTGGGCTGGCAGTGTCCTGCTTGGCATGGCCTCGTGGGACCAGGGAAGAGATTAAGGCTGAGGCGGGATGTCCTGGAGGCAGAGACGGGAGTGATGCATCTGGAGGCCTGGAGGCCTGGAGCCCTGAGCAGGTGGCTGGGAGAGGCAGGAGGACCTTGTTCCCTAACTGCTTCAGAGCTGGACACCGGCCCCCTGGCCAGCTGCACTCATTTCCACTGGAAATGTGGGTCCCCGCACCTGAGTCCCAGCTGTTTTATTTATTTAGTTTTCCTTTTTGAATGACCTATTTTTTTTTTTTTTCCGGTACCGGGAATCGAACTCAGGACCTTGCGCTTGCCAGGCAGGCTCTGTGCCACTGAGCTAAATCCCCAGCCCCTAGTTTTCCTTTTTAAGATGCATTCTTGCTAATTCCTCAGGCTGGCTTCATACTCCTGGGCTCAAGCAATCTTGCCTCAGTCTTCCCAGTAGCTGGGACTCCAGGTGTGTGCCACCACACCTGGCCCCAAAATAAATTGTGAAGAGCTGCTAAATATTTCTGTACATTAGTAGAAATTTTTACTTCACCGAAAACCCAAGTTACAAAAAAGGCTGGAGCGAAGGTGGTGTTTTGTGGTGCAATGTCGCCAGTGGCCACAGGAGGGCGCCTCCATTAAAGGAAACGCGGCTGAGCAGGCCACCTCCCAACACCGAGCTGGGAGGAGCCGCACGCGCGGGCATGCACGAACACACCACCACTCACAGGAAACACATGCAAGAAGCGCACGAGCACGTGCATACAGTTACACAACCATGTACACAAACATGCAAGGAACACAAGTGTGCACACATTTATACAGTACACGAACACAAGGCTCACAAGCCGTACACACATGCACACAAATACGCAAGGAACATGCACGTGCACACATGCACAAGCCACGTGAACGCGTGCGCACACGCACGAGCATGCCAGCTCACATGCAGTCGCGCACACAGACATCGCCCCCGCCGCCCCAGATGGTGGAGTGGTCAACCGGCCCGCTGCGCTCACGTTCGCCACGCTGAATGGAGTCGGAGGGCGCGCGCCTGCGCGCTTGCCTTCCCCTCGCTCGTGCTGCCGGCGAGCAGCTCCCGCTCGGCCCCAGGCACAGGCCTCGCCAGCAGCCGCGAAGGAGTCTCGGGAACACGCTGCCGCGACAAAACCAGCACCGCTTTCCTCTGCGCTCGCGGGCCCAAAACACTTGTGACGAACGGGGACTCGCGCTTTCCCCGGCCGCAGCATGGAGCGCTTACGATTTCCCGCACTTCCGCCGGGAAGAGTCCAGAACCCGGGAGCCTGCGGCCCCTCGTGGGGTAGGAGGGCCCGCGTCCCCCGCCCCGCTGCCGAGAGTCGCCTGTGAGTCCCTGCGGCCCCTGGTGCACCCACCGCCTCCACCCGGGCGGGGGGGGGGGGCGCCCCGGAGACATGTCCCTTCCGCAGGTCGTTAGGGAGCCGGGAGCGGAGCGGGGCGGGCCGGGTGGGGGAAGTGCGCCCGAGCCAGGAGAGCGCAGGTCACAGCGTCTCCGCGCGGCGGGAGGGTTCGGAACTGCACCCCCGCCGGCGCGAAGAGCAGGCGCAGCCCCGCAGTGCTCGCGGATCCGTGTACCGCGTTCGCGCAGGGCGTGTTGCTCGGATAGCTCGCACCGCCATGCGGCCGTGGGAACGGAGCAGCGAGCACGGTGCGCAAGTCCGCGAGAGTGGAGCTTCGTGTGTGTGTGTGTGCGTGTGCGTGTGCGTGTGTGTGTGTGTGTGTGGACCCCGTCACACCCGCCGCGCAGGGACGCTGCTGTCGAAGGGGCCGCACACTGCAGCGGCTGCGTGGGACGATTATCCGGCCAGAAAGTCTTGGGACCCAGCGAAAGTGGATACGCAGAAAAAGACTCATCTTCCCACCCTTTGTGTACTCCTAAATCGAGTTGCTTAATTTCTAGCCGCACTGACGAACACTTAGCTGTAAGTGCTGCACGAGTTGGAGGAAATAAACCCAAGAGTCAGATTGGTTGCTGAACACATTCTGCGAGGAGCTAGGCTGCCGCTTGCATTTCGGTCCTGGGCTGCCTGGGGATTCCTGGTATTCTATTTTTGCATAAATTCTAGAGCTTACATATCTGCACGCCGTATCTGGAGGCAGATCGGAATTGTAGGACCACGCTCTCAGCCTGTTGCCTAGTGTCGGGTCTCTGTGCGTGTCTCCCCTTGGGCAGCTCTGGATTTACCAGAGGTGCCAGCCTGGGCTCTTGGGTACAGGTTAGATGGATCACAGCCAGTTTAAGAGAGTTGGAACTAATTAGGGAACATCTCAGATGTCAGATCGTTAAACAAAGCTGTAAAAAGTAAATTGTAGTCTTTGGCGAGCAGGTATTTCATAAAATATGATCCCTTGAATGAATTGGTAATAGCTGTGAAACCATATTTTTATTATCACTTTTAAGCACACAGATGAATATTCTAAAAGTTTAAAATTTGACGTAACGATGTATTATAGCTACCATAAGCAGTTGTGGAATCGGACATTTGATATATTACCAGAGGCTGATTGAAGAGTCAATTAAAATATAGTATCTCTAAAGGGGTGTGTGTGTGTGTGTGTGTGTGTGCACTTAATGTGTGGTGGAGCTGGAGCTTTAGAAGCCCCTTACAGAGAGTTTGGTGTGGTAGAGCTGTGGAACGTGGGAAGCCAGTTAGAGAAGTCCAGGATGGTTCTTTGACATGAAAGGACAAACTGGACTGCAGCCGCGGTCAGTACCAGGTGACAGCCAGACACGCGTGTCACACGCCGTCTGTGGTGAGTAATGAGGGGAAGGGTTACCAGCAGATGCTTGTGCAGACCAGGAGCCTCGTCATCCCGTGGGGAGTCGGCTCCCCGTGGGGCCTTGTGGAGGTGTCGGGGACGCGCCGTGGGGCACACTTGCACTGCTTCCTTTCTATTGTTCTTTTTACTCGAAAACATTTTTTCCCCTTCTTGGTGTTAGGGACGGAATGCAGGG